AAAAGCAGCAGAACCTGTTAACTCCTCAGCCCCAGATATGTTTGCGCCATGAATTACATCTAAAGCAATAAAGGCAGGATAAACATCTAATAAATCTATAAATAAAATCAATAGAGCAAATTTAGAGGATCTTAGTTCTTGGAGCAGAGGGAAAACATTCAGCTGGATGTTTGTGGTACAATCTTCAAAAGTTTCACCTTGGTAGCACTTTACAGATAGTCTTCAATTTATGACAGTTTATTTAGTGACCGTTCAACGTTACAACGGCACTGAAAAAAGTGACTTATGACCTTTTTTCACACTTACGACCATTGCTATACTTCCTGTATAGCAAATTTAGAGGATTTTAGTTCTTGGGAGCAGAGGGGGATTTTTCAGATGAAGTTATGATATAATCATCAAAATCTTCACCTTGGCACACCCTTTTAAGAAACAAAAATCTGTTGAACAAAAATCTGTTCAACATCACTAAACGTTCTTTAAAGAAGGTGTGTGTAGGTCTTTGGTTATTCGGGTTTTCTCACACATCAAATTGGAAGTGTCTTGGCGACGTTTCAATAAAGTCCCATTCGTCATCTTCAGGCTGGTGTTTTCGGCTTCGTGCTTCTAGGAGCTCCTAGAAGCACGAAGCCGAAAACACCAGCCTGAAGATGACGAATGGGACTTCGTTGAAACGTCACCAAGACACTTCCAATTTGATGCGGGAGAAAACCCGAATAACCAAAGACCTACACACACACACACACACACACACTCACACACACACACACACACAGAGAGAGAGAGAGAGAGAGAGAGAGAGAGAGAGAGAGAGAGAGAGTGTTCATGCCTTTCATAGACCCTGAAGGGAGATTTTGTAAACTTCAAGTGAAAAAGTCCTTGTCTCTGGAGAGCCAGCCATTCAAAGACATTATTTATTATGTCCTCTCTTGCCCTATCAATGATGAAATCAAGGGAAGACAAGCAAACAAACATTTTTTTTTAAAAAAAGAAATAAACTTTTTCGTAATTTGGTCTCTTTTTTTTTTATGCCTGTACTAAAATAAATAAACTGAGCAAAAAAAAAAAAAAAACACAAAACCCCTCCATGGTACAAAGGCTGCACTATAAACAAAAAATAAACAAAGTTAAACAGTAACAAATGAGAGAAGAAAGAAAGCAACCTTATAAACAGGGTTACCTAAACAGCATAAGAAGATTTCAAATTTTGAAAAGAAGATTCTGGGATGGTAAAATGTCATCAAATTTGTGCCATAATGGGAAAAAAAATAGCACATCCTTCTTCAATTTGTAGAAAAAAGAGAAATGTTTAAAAACGGATAAAGTGCACGTACATTTCGCTTATCTGATGGGGGAAAGGATAATGCATAAAAGAAGGAAACAAAAAAACATTAAAAATAAAATAAAGAGCAAATAAGGTAGTTGGAATAAGTGCTACCAATAAAAATGACTGGCTGGCTGGCAACATCAGCCCACATTAGTAGATTGCAGAAAAGCGAAGAAGAATTGGATTAAGTTAATAAGTGGATGGCAAATTTCAAGGAAATCTGAGTTTGTAGGTTAGTCTGGGAAGATGAAAAACAAAATCCTGATCATTAGAACAATTAACCAGTGGAACATCCTGCCTCCAGAAGTGGTGAATGCTCCAACACTGGAAGTTTTTAAGAAGAGACTAGACGGCCATTTGTCCAAAATGGTATAGGGTTACCCGCCTGAGCAGGAGGTTGGACTAGATGACCTCCAAGGTCCCTTCCAACTTTATTATTGTTGTTGTTGTTGTTGTCGTTGTTGTTGTTGTTATTATTAGCCAACACAGTGCTGGGCTGCATTAACAGAGGGATAGACTCAAGATCATGTGAAGTGTTAATATCACTTTACAAGGCCTTGGTAAGGCCACACTTGGAATACTACATCCAGTTTTGGTCACCACGATGTAAAAAAGATGTTGAGACTCTAGAAAGAGTGCAGAGAAGAGCAACAAAGATGATCAGGGGACTGGAGGCTAAAACATATAAGGAACGGTTGCTGGAATTGGGGATGTCTAGTTTAACGAAGAGAAGGACGAGGGGGACATGATAGCAGTCTTCCAATATCTCAGGGGCTGCCCCAAAGAAGAGGGAGTCAAACTATTCTCCAAAATGCCTGAAGGCAGGACAAGAAACAACGGATGGAAACTAATCAAGGAGAGAAGCAACCTAGAACTAAGGAGAAACTTCCTGACAGTTAAAACAATTAACCAGTGGAACAACCTGCCTCCAGAAGCGGTGACTGCTCCAACCCTGCTGGAAATTTTTAAGAAGAGACTGGACAGCCATTTGTCTGAAATGGTATAAGGTTTCCTGCCTGAGCAGGGGGTTGGATCTGATGATCTCTAAGGTCCCTTCCAACTCCTTCTTCTTCTTCTTCTTCTTCTTCTTCTTCTTCTTCTTCTTCTTCTTCTTCTTCTTCTTCTTCTTCTTCTTCTTCTTCTTCTTCTTCTTCTTCTTCTTCTTCTTCTTCTTCTTCTTCTTCTTCTTCTTCTTCTTCTTCTTCTTCTTCTTCTATCTGAGATGACTTACGACCAAAATTCCTGTTGCTAACTGAAACATTCATTAAGTGGGGGTTGCCCCATTTTATGATCTTTATTGCCACAGTTCTTAAGCAAATCACTGCAGTTCTTAAGTTAGTAGCATGGCTGTTAAGTGAATCTGGCTTCCCCATTGTCAAAAGGTCCCCAAAGTTGATCCCATGACCTCAGGACACTGAAAACCGTCATTAGTACAAGTCAGTTGCCAAGCATCCAAATTTTGATCACCATGGGGATGCTGCCACGGTCATTAGTGTGAAAAATAGTCATGTCACTTTTTTCAGTGTTGTCGTAACTTTAAATGGTCACTAAATGAACGGTTGTAAGGCAAGGACTACCTGAACTGAATTAGACATATAATCAACGGGAGGCAATTTGAATATTTTGCTGTGGAACTGAGTTATGGGCCGTGGAGTGAACAAAGCCATCTTTACAGATGGTGGAAAAAAAATGAATTTCACGGTTCAGATTGTCGTCTCCATATCCCCGTTTTTTTTCTGATGATTTTCGGAAGAGCTGTTCTTTGAAAGTGGCCAATGGCCAACCTAGGCGGCCGTAAATAAAAATGAACAAATGTTTATATGTGGCTCCATCGTCCTGTGTGTGCTATAATGAAGAGCAGAGTCAAGAAAATGGCTAAGACCACAAAGACCACGTCTCACTGCCGTGTTTGAATAATAGGCCAAGCTTGGTTATTCATCAGGGTTTCTTTGGGTGGCTTTGTGCAAGTTGTGTGAATTCAAGAGCTGGGTTAATTGTGTACCCAGATTGATCCAGCTGTGTGAATGGCTGCTGTTCCTTTGGCTGATAGGGAGCCCACCTGAGGCTGCAGAATTTTGGAGAAACAAGCCTGACAAGCATCTCTCTCTCTCTTACTCTCCTTTCCTCCCTCTCTCTCTTCTTTCCCTCTCTCTCTCCCCTTCCTCCCTCTTTCTTATTCTCCTTCCTTTTCTCTCCCTCCTTCTTACTCTCTCCTTCCTTCCCTCTCTCTCCCACTTACTCTCCTTCCTCCCCCTCTCTATCCCTCCCCTCTCCTGTCTCTCCTTCCCTCTCCCTCCCTCTCTTACTCTCCTTTCCTCCCCTCTCTCTTTCCCTCTTATTCTCTTCCCTTCCCTCTCACTCTCTCTCTCTTTCTCTCCTTCCTTTCCCCCTCTCCCACTTACTCTCCTTCCCCTCCCTCCCCCTCCCCCTCTCTTTCCTTCCCTTTCCCTCTCTCTCTTACTCTCCTTTCCTCCCTGTCTCTCTTCTTTCCCTCTCACCCCCTCCCTCTCTTATTCTCCTTCCTTCCTTTCCTTTCCTCTCCTTCCCCTCCTGCTCTCTCCCTCCTTCTTACTCTCTTTCTTTTCCCCCTCTCTCCCAATTACTCTCCTTCCCCTCCCCCCTTCTCCCTCCCCTCTCTCTTTCTCTCTCCTTCCACCTCCCTCCCTCTTACTCTCCTTTCCTCCCTCTCTCCTTTCCCTCTCTCTCACTCTTATTCTTCTTCCTTCCTTCTCCTTCGGCTCTCTCCCTCCTTCTTACTCTCCTTCCTTTCCCCCCTCCCTCCCCTTTTCTCCCTCCCCTCTCCTCTCTCTCATTCTCTCTCCTTCCACCTCCCTCCCTCTCTTACTCTCCTTTCCTCCCTCTCTCTTCTTTCCCTCTCTCTCACTCCCTCTCTTATTCTTCTTCCTTCCCTCTCCTTCGGCTCTCTCCTTACTCTCCTTCCTTTCCCCCCCTCTCTCCCACTTACTCTCCTTCCCCTCCCTACCTCTCTCTCCCTCCCCCCTCTCTCATTTTCTCTCCTTCCCCCTCCCTCCCTCCCCATCCCCTTGATTAAAACCAAGCCAGGTAACACAAGGCGTTCCCCTTGCGAACAAACACCTGGACTTTTTGATCCAACCGGGTGGAGCACCCAAGAAGCCTTAAAATCTCCAACATCAAGTAACTTTCTCCACCGCGACAGAAAGAACGCCGAACAGGCCCCCTTCGGGCTGGCAGGCTAGCTTTCTGCAAGCAGGGAGTTCTTTGCAAACAAAAATCCTCCGGAGCTGCCATCCCGGCTCTTCGAAGCTGCAGCTACCCAAAGCGGAGCTGCCGTCCGTCGCCCCGGGTCGGAGTTGCTTCTCTCTTTCTCTCTCTCTCTCTCTCCCCCACCCCGCCCGCGCCAGCCCCCTTTGGAAACGCGGGGCTCTGGCCGGCTGCGCTGCCCTGCGGCGGTCCCTGTGCCCCTCGACTCTCCCTCCCCGGCTGGGCTGGCGGGGAGGGAAGGCGGGGAGAGCGCGGCGGTGGGGGCCATGCCTGTGCACGCGCTTTCTTACCGTAAGAGGGAGTTGGGACCCAGGGTTTTCCTGTTAATCACTCAACCCAAAGCCGGGCTGCTTGCAATAAATAGCAGCTCATCGCTCCGGGGCTCCAGTGTGTTGCCGCTTCTGCCTCCTTTTGGGGACCCCGGGATAGGGGGAAGAGCCCCCCCCTCCCCTCCACACCGGCCCAGGTAGCCAGTCCCCCCCCTTCCTCCCCATCCATGTGGACCCACCAGCTGTTGCCACTCGGACTCTTCCTCCACTCCGTCCTGGCCGTCCCGCTGGCAGGTTAGTTTGCTCTTCGCCCAGGCGCGCCGCTCTCGTGGTCCGAGGGAAAAGCCTGCCTGGTCGTGAAGACGCGCACACGCGTGTACGCGGGAGTTTGGGAGGAGGAAGAGGCGGGGGGGGTGGCGAAGCGGGAGCTCTGGGCGCTTGAAGGAAAACGCCGCGAGGGGTTTTGGGCGAAATGCAGTCGTTGGTGTATGTGGGGGGATGTTGTGGTTCGTTGCGGTCGTGGAGACGCAGACACGCGTGTCCGCGGGAGGGAAGGGAGGAAGAGGAAAAGGAAGAGGAGGGGGAGGTCTGGGCGCTCTGGGCGCTTGGAAGAAAATGCCGCGAGGGGCGTTGGGCGGAACGCGATCATTGGGGGAATGTTGTGTTTCGTTGCGGTCGTGGAGACGCACACACGCGTGTCCGCGGGAGGGAAGGGAGGAAAAGGAGGAGGAAGGAGGGGTCTGGGCGCTCCGGGCGCTTGGAGGAAAAGTGCTGCGAGGGGCGTTGAACAGAAGGCAGTCGTTGATTGATGGTGTGGTTCTTTAGGGTCGTGGAGACGCGCAGACGCGTGTACTCGGGGTTTCTGCGCTCTTTAAAAGGGTTCGTGACTGGGCGAGGTTGGGGTCCAAGACGTGTGCCTTGGACCTCTGCTGCCCGCCCAGTTTTGGGGGACCAAGCGAGGTGCTGTAGTCGGGACAGAGGAGACACGGGAGAAGCAATCCGGCGGCGCACGGGTTAAGTTTGGGGTGGGACGCCTCTTCCCGGGACAGGTTTAAAGGGAAGGCGAAGGTTGTGTGTGTGTTTGTTTGTGTTTGTGTGTTTGTGTTTTGTTTGCACCAATAAAGGAGAATATTTGTAGCGCAGGGTCGAAATGTGGGGCTCTTAGTGGTTTTTCTTGCGGACCTTTCATGACTCAAACCAGCGAACATCCACACGGACTAGCACTGATAGTGTTCCTTAAGTCTGGGCCGTGAAAACGTCTGCAAACGAGCTAGCAAGCTCAGAGAGTACCCCGTGTCTACTTGTGCATACAAACAGAAACTTAAGCGCCCGCGTGTTGTACGAAGCCTGGCTATATACGCGCGCCTGCTTCTTGCACGTGTGAGCGATCCGTGCGCCTGGTACGCCAACACACGTGCAAACGCTCAGCTGTCGGACGGTGCGGGTGTGCCAGCCCCTGGGTAGATCTCCGCTTTGAATTGCGGATAAGGTTGGGTGGGATTCAGCCGTTTGAAAAGGAAGCAAAAGATTCCCTCGGCCGTCCGGTCCGGTGCGATCTTGTTGGCTGGCGCAGAATGAATTGTTCCGCGATCAGCGGAGTTTGCGATAGCGGCTCCTCTAACTATACCGGTGCGACTTCCAGCGCTTGTGCGTGTCTGTTGGGGGGAGGACGTTGCTTAAATGTTCCTCTCTGGCCAGTCCCAACTTCAGACAAGTAGGAAGAAGGAACAAAGCAATAAAGATGATCAGGGGACTGGAAGCTAAAACATATAAAGAGCGGTTGCTGAAATTGGGTATGTCTAGTTTAATGAAAAGGACTAGGGGCGACATGATAGAGTTCCAATATCTCAGGGGTTGCCACAGAGAAGGGAGGGGGGGGGGTCAACCTAGGAAAAAAGGTTGCAGGAATTGGGTATGCCTACTCAAGTGAAAAGAAGGACTAGGGGTGATAGAATAGCAGAGTTCCAATATTTAAGCTGGAGAAGAGCCTAATGGTGGGAAAGATGGAGGGCAAGAGAAGAAGGGAACAACAGAGAAGGAGGGGGCTGGATGGAGTCACTGAAGCAGTATTCCTGAGCTTAAATGGACTCCAGAAGATGGTAGAGGACAGGAAGACCTGGAGGAGCGTTGTGTTGTGGGTCTCATATAAAGTTGTCTTCCTCTTATGAATAAAATTGTGGCTGCAATAATTGAGGCTGATGCGCTAATAAACAAGGTCAAGGCCATGGTTTTCCCAATTGCAATGTATAGCTGTGAAATATGGACCATGAGAAAGGCTGAGCACCAAAGAATGGAGGCCTTTGAACTCTGGTGCTGGGGAAGACTCCTGCGAGTCCCCTGGACTGCAAGGCAATCAAACCAGTCAGTCCTAGAGGAGATCAACCTGACTGCTCTTTAGAAGGCCAGATCCTGAAGTTGAAACTCAAGTCCTTTGGCCACCTAATGAGCAGGAAGGATTCACTGGAGAAGAGCCTAATGCTGGGAAAGATGGAGGACAAGAGAAGAAGGGGACGACAGAGAATGAGGTGGCTGGATGGAGTCACTGAAACAGTAGGGGTGAACTTAAATGGACTCCAGAAGATGGTAGAGGACAGGAAGACCTGGAGGAACGTTGTCCATGGGGTCGCAACGGGTCGGACACGACTTCGCAACTAACAACAACAAAAAATATTTAAGGCAGGGATCCCCCAACCCCCCCCCCCAGGTCCATGGGTACTGGTCCACGGCATGCAAGCACCGGGTCCACACAAACAAGAAAAGCCTCATTCGTAGGATGCAGGCAGCACACACAATCACACACTCTCCCGTCCCTGGGAAAACCTTTCTCCATGGAACTGGCCCCTGGTGCCCAAATGGTTGGGGACCTCTGATGTAAGGGAAGAAGAGGGAGTCAAGCTCTTCTCCAAAGCACCTGAGGGCAGGACAAGAAGCAATGAATGGAAACTAATCAAGGAGAGAAGCAACCTAGAAATAAGAAGAAATTTCCTGATAGGGAGAACAATCATGTGGACATCTGGATTTTTGCAGCCCAAATTGGACATCCTTAAATTGTTAGAAATATGTGTGCAAATCGGCCTGTATATCTATTTTTCTTCTTGTTCTGCAGTCTGTTCTCTTCTCTATTTTTCCATATGACAAAAATCTGCAGGCTATAATCACCCTAGGAGAGGAATTTTTTTTTTTTTTTATGAATGCCTATTTGAACACTTTTCTCTTTCTAAGTGTCTGATCAGTTAAATAAATAAGGGTCAAAAAACAGTCAAGCTCACTCCCTTTATCCTGGATTAACACGATGGCCTCATTTGAACTTTCCAAGGTAGATTAGGGTTACAAAACAATTTAGTCCAGGCCATCTTGGAATTAAACATCAGATCAGTGGTATAAAATGGATAAAAAGTGCTACATTGTAGTGTGTGCATTGTTAAAACTTCCAGCAGGTGCAAAACAACAACAACATGACCTGTTTGCTTTAAAAAGTCTGACATTTGGAAACGTTGATAGCAGTTAATTTCTGCACAGGACACAAAGGAGAGATTGTGTGGTCACAATCTTAGCCTCATTTATCTGGGAACGCATCTTTTTGAACTTGGAAGTATTTCTTTCCTGAAGGCCTAAGGCAGGGGTAGTCAACCTTGCCTCATTTATGACTCGTGGACTTCAACTCCCAGAATTCCTGAGCCGGCGTGGCTCAGGTTGGAAATCTCTCCCTTTCCCCTCAGCATGGCTGGCTTAGGAATTCTGGGAGTTGAAGTCCACGAGTCATAAAAGAGCCAAGGTTGCCTACCCCCGGCCTAGGCCTAGGCCCCTTTTTGACTCGTGAACTTCAACTCCCAGAATTCCTGAGCTAGCATGATTCAGCTTGGAAACCTCTCCCTTTCCCCTCAGCGTGGTTGGCTCAGGAATTCTGGGAGTTGAAGTCCACAAGTCATAAGTGAGTTTTGCCCCCATTTCACAATGATTCAAAGTTACAAAAGTGACTGAAAAAAAGGGGACGTCTGACCGTTTTTCACTCTTATGACCGTTGCAACATCCGATTTAGATTCAGATGCTTGACAACTGACTCACATTTACGACGGTTGGAGGGCCCCCAGGATCACGTGATCCCGTTTTGTGACTTTCTGACCAGCAAAGTCATTGACGGAAACCAAATTCACTTAACAACTGGGCGACTAAGTGAACAATCGCAGGGGTTCATTCAAGGGCGGCAAGAAAAGTCATAAAATGGGGCAAAACTCACTTAACAAATGTCTCTCTGAGCGACAGAGATGTGCTCGATTGTGGTCGTATGTCGAGAACCGCCTGTATTCCGAGTGAAGAACTAACTTCCTAGTTTGAAGCAGCTGGGCGTTGCCTTTGAACTCTGTATAAGCACAGAAACCGGGAATGTGTAGCTCGCTCTTACGAGGTGGCTGGCTTTGATGCTGTCGTAAATACTTTGCAGGATGTAGCTTCTCCTTAATAGATTGCCCAGTGGAAAAGGGGAAAGGGAAATCTGTAAGAATTGGTGGGAGGACAGAGGGAAAACAATGTCATTTGGGCCTCTCCTTCATAAATACGACAAAGTTGATGGCCCTCAAAACCGCTCGTACGGGCGCACCTGCATTTCCTGCAACACGCTGAGATCAAATCCCTTTTTGGTGGCGTTTCCTTGTTATTCTTTCCAAACCCAACGGAATGTCGGAAATGAATTATGGAAAGGGATTTGGGACGTTCTCTGCTCTCATCAGCTTAATTGTTCTCCAAACGCTGAAAAGCATGGAAGCAAAACGGGTGTCAGGGGAGAAGGTGGTAAAAGAAAGGTTGAGTTCAAAAGTGAGCTGGATCTGGCCAGGGTTCTTGCAGGCAAGAACATTTATATATATATATATATATACCCAGGAATCGCTATTCTTCAATTTTTAATGTATTTTATATATATATATATATATATATATATATATATATATATATATATATATATATACATATACATATATATATATATATATATACATACAGAAAGTTTTTCAGACAGACCGATCTGATTGATTACACCTTGGCATTTTTAACTGCTATACTGCAGTTCTACTTTTTACAATCTCTTTTGCCTTGCAGCCACCCAACTAGGGGCATTAAGCAGGCTCAAGTCACTACTGTGAAATTTCAGATTGTCAAGAAAAAAGAAATCTGGAGATATATATATATATATATATATATATATATATATATGTGTAGGTCTTTGGTTGTTCGGGTTTTCTCCCACGTAAAATTGGAAGTGTCTTGGCGACGTTTCGACGAAGTCCCATTCGTCATCT